GCCTCGGCCCTGGGGCTGGACCGGGCAGTGCCCGTGAGGAGCCAGCGGGACCCGTCCCCAGCCCGGCCGGGCACCGGCCCCCCACTGGGGACCTGTACCCCGGGAGAGGCAGCAGCGGCCTGAGGGCTTCCCCGCTGCTGCCTCCACGACCCCGTCACCCCGCTCTGACCTGCCCCCCAGGACTGCCCCAAACTGTGTCCTCTCCCCAGTGGGCTGCCCGCTCGCTCAGCCCCACCTCGCCCAGCAAGCTGGCAGCGGCCGGAGGCGCTCCGGCCCCGGGGCTCGTCCTGGCCACGCTGGCCCTGTCCCCGCCCCACCCCTGCCCTCACAGGGCCCGGGGCCGGCAGAGGCCGCCCTGGGGAGGCTGGGGCAGCGGAGGCCGCAGGACTCCGGTCAGGGCAGCCGTGGCCTCCGGCGGGGCAGGCCCCGTCCGGCGGGGCCCCAGCTCAGGCCGCCCGGGGTTGCCCTCCTCTCGCCTTCGACCCTACAAAGCAGGGGGGGACGAAACGCCACGTGCGGCGGCACCTGGCCGCGGACGGCCACCCCGGGGGCGGCGAGGGCCGGGCTGCTAGCCCGCCGTGAAGGTGACCTTCCAGGCGCTGCCCTGGCGTGGGCCAGGCCTCTGCTGCCCCCTGGTGGCGGTGCTGGGCACTGTGCCGGGCCCCTGCAGCCCTCCAGGCCTTCTCCGGCCACTCTGGGTGGGTGGCGCCACGCAGGCTGTCCCACGCGTCAGGCCGGCCCCGCTGCCAGGGCCTTTTGTCCCCAAGCTGTTTCCTGCCCTCTGGGCTCACTGCCTCGCTGGGGGGCCTCTGGAGCCTCCCCGTGGGGCTGGCTCTGCTAGTCCCCGTCTGGGGAGTGGACACAGAGCCCAGCGCGTGGGGTGCTCGCCCTGGGCCTGCATGGATCTGCCAGGCGCCTGCCCGCCGCCGCGGATCTCCTGTGGCTGCGTCCCGCGCCCGGCCGGCCCGGTCAGGTCGGGTCAGGCGGGGAGCCCAGCCCGGCCAGGGTCCCCGGGGAGGGCATGGTCAGGGGTGTGCCGGGAAGGCCGGCACCACCTCCTGAGCAGGGCCCGGGACCGGGGCCTGGGCCAGGCTGGGGTCTGGTTTCAATGACAACACTGGTCGTCCAGCGGGTAAGCGTGACCCGGCCATCAGAGTCCTGTCCCCGAAGCCCGGTCGACACGGGCCGGCGCCTTCGTCTCACCCACTTTCCTCCTTGTCCTCGGCCCCTGCGCCCACGCCGGCGGTCATGTGCGACACAGGCCTGGGGGCCCTCGGGGCAGCGTCCTGCCCACAGCCTGCCCTCGCCGCGTCAAGGCGGCGCTGCCCACACGACCCCTGCGCCTGCCCCAGCGAGGGGGAAGCTGCTCACCGCAGTGGGGCCCCGGGGGGGGGGCGCCTCAGCCCCCAGCGGCTGTGCCCCGGATGCAGCCCACGGCCGGGCAGAGGCCCAGGGGAGGGGCAGCCCAGGCGGGTTCCCCCACCGGCAGGCAGGCCCAGCCCCCCTCCCCCGCCGCACCTGCCCCTCCAGCCCCCTGCAGTGCCGGGGTGGGGGTTCTGGGAGGGGGCAGTGACCAGTACCCAGAAACAGCCAGGAACTCGATGCAGGGGCCCCAGTTTTCCTGCCCAGCTCCCCCCGTGGCCGCCGGGTACCCCGACCCCCAGACTCACGTGGGCCAGCTTTGCTGCTCAGCTGATCCTTTATTGATGGCTGCGGGCGCGGGGTGGCCCCGGGGCACTACGTGGGGGGGCGGGGGGCCTCCAGCAGAGGACCACCGGCTGGAACAAGGCCCCGCGCCGGGGCGCCCCTGCGGGAGGACGGACACGGCCCAGCAGGGCCCTCAGCCCGCCGCAGTCCTCCAGCTGCTGGCGCTGCGCGGGGCCCCTCCGCCGCCCTCAAGCCCTCGCGCCC